TCTTCTCTCCTTGAACATCATCTTTCCCTTATGTCTAAGACAATTTTCTTTCTTTCAAGCATTAGAGACCTCTTCAATGGCAGAAGAAAAGTCATTCCCCTTTTCTTGTCTCTATTAGCCAAGAGAGCTTCCTTGTTTTTCTGTTCTTTCTCCCTAACTCCTTAATCTCATCTTTCTATCAGCCTGTTACCTCAGCCTTTTTTAGTCTTGTTTTGTAACAGGACTAAAAAAGTATATTGCCAACATCCAAACTTGTGCTTTATAAAGTTGTTGACATCTTTATACCCAATAGAATGTTGAGTACAGCGTGGAGTATATGTTATATGATTTGTGATTAATTACTGTTCTGCAAATCTTTCAGTGGATTAATACTTATTAACTGAATGTTTGGTAAGTTGGTTTGGTTTTTGTTTTTCAGTTCTGGGAACCCAAATTGGTTCCTCTTTGGCTGTTTTTTTTTACATGCATCTGAGTTTAAAATTGGGTGCTGGAAGCTGTTACTGCCTCAGCCATCTGTCTCACTCTTTGGGTGAGTATTTGCTAGCCTGGAGGCAGAGATGTCTCATCCCTGTCAATTGGCTTCTGAGATGCTTTTCAGCCTGGCATTCAAAAGTGAGTAACTGCTTTTAGTCTGCCACTGCTGAATGTATGATGAAGCCTTTAAGGTACAGCAACATAAAATATGTGCTTTTTGTTAGGGCAGACAAGAAATAGTTTGCAGTGTTTGCTGGCTGCTACTTGTTGCTTTTTGGAACTGCTAGGTCATATGCTCCAAAGGAATATGGTGTTTCCAGTGCTTGCATTTTTATTGCAAGGTCTGCTGTGTTTAACTTGCAAATTGTTGGTTCCTGGAATTGAGATTGAAAAAATGCAAGGATTTCCACAAAACCTGTGCCTAGCCTTTCTGGTTGCAGAGGGGATATTTACCATGTGCCTGAAACATGGCACAGAAGCTCCCCCTCTCTCCACTCCTTCCCCTCCCAAACTTGTAACTTAGAACAACTTTCCACCTATAAAGCCCTTGTGGGTTGTTGTTTGGTTTGAATTCTGTATGTTTCGGGCTGGTGCTGGTAGTACAAGGTGGTATTCTTTAATATGCAAAGCACCTATGGGTTGCTGCCAGAACTTTAAAATTTTTTTGGTTCTTTTTTTTATATCACAGCGCTATGGTTTCTGATGAATGGTGTATTTTGATTCTACTTGTTTCTTCAGCTCACAGAGAGAAGTGAGAGAAATGAGCTAGGGGAGCAGTAGTTCTGATTGATTCTTGTCACAGTGCTGGGTTCTGTGCTGGCATTGATAAATGGATGCTTAATAATGTAATACTAGCATTGTTTGACGGCTAGTTTCCTAGGTCATCTTCAAATAACTTAGTGTGCGCTTCCTGGAATCTGAATCTTGAGCCAACTTCAGTGAATTGCTGCTGGGTAGTCAGAAACTGCAATGAATTATCTGGGTTGTAATCCAGTTGGTTTCCTGACCTTGATCTGTGTTTATATGGTCTGCTTGGTATGGGTGCCTTTGACTTCAATTTAAAGATGTCAAACAAGGGATTTTTTTCTTTTCCCAAGCAAGGAAACAGTGTGTATAATTTGGTATGTTGTCAGTACTCGGCTTATTCGCCCACACATTTTTCTCATTGCTTCCCTCTCTTCTTCAAACACTGGTGTAATTGGAAGACTTTGCAGTGGACCCAAGACATAGCCAGGTTATATCCAGTAAGATGTAGTGGAAATTCCTACAAACCACTCGTGCTGTGGCAAAACTTCTTTCTGCCAGTCTGTGGTCATTGTTATCAGTAGCTGCTTTTGATCAGAGCAGGCTGATGCTTATGACTTGCATGGGTGAATTGATTGGTTTCTTTCCAGGAGTTCCCCCCTGCCCCTTGTGTTCTGATGAGTGAATAATCCTTGAAGAGGAGCTCAGTTCAGCAACAGTTAAGTGTATTGGCAGATGTCAGAAAACAGTCATCCCAATTTTTCTGTGGCTTTACATCTATATGTGGATCTTCCCCAGTAAAATGCCAAGTGTGACATCCCAAGGTTTCTGGTGCCTCAAGAATCGATCTTATTTCTTCATGCCTGAAGACTGTTGTGGACCAGACCTCTAATTTCATAGACCTTTCATATATTCTTCACCTGGAACTCTGCTGGCTTTTTTCCATTAGCTTTTAAAATTTAATATTAGATTTCTTAGCAATGAATTTTAAGAGACTTTTTTATCATATATGTCCAAGCTGTGTGCTTCAAGACACTTTTGTGCAAAGTCTCATTTAAAAAGCTGCCATTCAAGGTATATTTGTATAGACACCCTATACAGAATGTTACTTCCTTTTGGCTTGTGTATGGGGAGGAAGGAGGTTGAGCAAATCTGAAATATGCTGCTTTTATTCTCCTGGCAGTATGGTTGGAACATTCAAATTCACTGCTTTTTTTACATTGCTGTTGCTTTTCCTGTAACATCCACTGGACGAATGCAAAGCTTCTCAGTGCTTGATTACAGGAATCTCTATTAATAAACTGCATGATTTAGGGTTGAATACCAAAACATAAGTTAAACTTAGTTCTTTGTGTTAGTACATGAACTAGCATGTATTGATATTACATAAAGGTCCTACACCTATTTAGGAACCCTTGTGATTAGTAGTGTCTTCTTCACGGCTTGAACTGTTTGTAGTCTAATTTTTTCAGTTTTTCTCGTGTCTAGCAGTGATTTCACTCCTCTCTGAATGGCATTCTCTTTTCTGTTATTAACATGGGAGTGCGCTGGTGGTGTGTCCACTGCAGTCTGCATCCAAGTATGTTTTGTCTTCTGCATCTCACTTTCTCCAGGACAATTGAGTTTCTTTATCCTGTTGAGACTGTTTGTTTGGTTTTGGGACAGTAAGATGAAATCATCTAAGATGACTTTTGTTTCAGAGACCAGTTATATAAACAGGAACTTTTGTTTTCACTACTGCACTTGGGAAGAAGGGGAAAATCACTGGATCTATTTGTCTTTCTGCATGTACACTGAGTTACAGATGCATCTGCCGTACTGCCTTACTAAACAAAGGCCATCATCTCTAGCTTGAAGTGGTAGATATGCAAAGGGACATCAGTAAGTCAGTTTTAATCCCAAAGTTTGTAACAAACTTAAGTTTTCTAAGAATTATTTTCAGATCAACAGGAAGAGTAGTTTGTACTGTGCCTTTTGCTTAACCTAAGCACTGTAGGCTCTGGGTCATGCATGACAGCCACATCTCCAGTGGCTCTAGTGCTTTGGGTGTTGAGATTCATTCCGCTTAGTGCAATTCAACACAATGGAGATGATTTATGGACATAGCAGGAAATAACTTGTCAGCTTAGTTGGTGTCATTCCCCTGAATTACACCATAGCTAGCCATAGCAGGGAAAGTGGTGGTGCTTAGATGAGTCCTGGGGACTTGAATCTGTGCAGAAGCAGCAGTGACACTGGCTGGCTTGTCTTCTGTCTGATGATTGTGGTACAAAACACATCAAAATGGAGATATAACCTTCTATAGTCCAAGTGATCTAAAATATTCTGAGATTCAGCTTCACAACATTCAGAAGGGACACTGGCAAAGGGGAGTAGGAGAATATTAGTAGAGAGGTTTTGAACCTTTTTTGAAAAATGATCTCTTTTTTCCTCTTCCTTTTTGTTCCAGGGTGCACTCCTAGAAAGTGTGGAAGAGGTGTGACTGATGCTATAATCACGAGGGAAGAAGCTGAAAGAATCCGTAGGTAACTTTTCTTTTAGCTCTTAACTTTTATAAGCACTTTAATGACAGTGTGCCAGTATTTAAGGTGGAGTGCAAAGCTCATTAGCTGAAGGAGGATGGGTTAAACTGGTTAAAACATTACCCTTTTTTTTTTTAAAAAAAGCCATTTTTTGCTGTAGTAGAGGCAGTTCTCTTTCATACAGTCTGCCTAGCTCTGTGGGGCATGTGTGTTGTAGAGAAAGAAGGAAAATAAATTAAATAATTTAAAAGGATTTTCACTTGGCCTTCTGTTCCATTTGGCCTTTAAAAACAGAACAAAACAACATAAGCCTCCTTTCAGCTGAGTCTTTCTGGATAATTATGAGCTAGTGCTGACCCTATAGTCCTCTGTGAACACTAAGTGGTGAGTTTTAATCAAATAGTAGGGGACACTGTCAAATTATGCAGTTAGAAAAGTTATCAGCCTCTGAGTGTGATTTGCACTTGATAATCATGTAAATGGGGAATATCACTGTAATGTTCCAAGCGATGCGTAGCTGGTGTTAAGTGCTTTGTTCACTAGTCAGGCTGGTGACTCTGTGATTCCAAATTCGGTTGGGTTCCTGATTTTGATACAGCGTTTCTGCACAGTACAAGTTTACTTGTATTGCAAGAATAAAGATCTGGTTTTTATGTTTAATCTTACTTAGCCAGCATGTATTTGAAAGCCAGTGGGGTTTGGGAGATTTATGGAATGGGGCTTACAAGCTCAGAAATGTTCTACAACCTAGATATTTTCATGACAGGCTGCAAGACTGAGTTTCAAATAAATGGCAGCTTCTCATCTCAACTCAATCGGGTTATATCTGATGCATCAAATAACACTTACTGAAGAGTTACATGTTGTAAATAATGACATTAAAGGACAAAGTGATCAGACTTCAGTTCTCATCTGAGGTTATTGTTTTGCCTGCAGAATAGCAGAGAGGGGACTGTCCTTGGGAGGATCTGATGGAGGGGTGAGCAGTGTCCTGTTACTTTTTACATTCTTTTTACTGCCAAGGCAAGATCATAAATGCATTTTTGGGGCTTGAGGAGATGGAGAATTTTTCTTTCCATTCAGATTTGGAAAAAAATTTGTTGGGAAGACTTCTGCAATACAGTTGACGCTTCCTATTATTCAGCTTAGTTATTTCTAGCACCTCTCTCGAACTGATTTTTGTCTTTTCCATCTGGAAACAGTTACTATAGCAGACCTGCACAAGTTTGACTTCTGAAACTAAATTACAGTGGTTCACAGTGTCACACAAAAATTGCTTTTCTGTAGTGACAAAACATACCATGTAATGTCTTAAGTAGAACTTTGAGTAATATCCTTTAAAAAATAAATCCACTTCTAACAAGCATGTTTATTTTAATGTCTTTCCCCATCTTTGTTCTCAGGATGATTTTTGTGTATGAACAGAAACTGTTTCTTGAGTATTTCTAAACACAACCACTTTAGGCCTCTGAATTAAGGCATATATTAGCAGAAAAGGAAAAAGATTTCAATGAAAAATAAGATTTTTATTGTCCTTGTGATTGCTGAGAAAGGCAGCACTGCTTAAGTTTCTTGAGTTATATTTTTGCAGGTCTATCTGAAACAATATATTTAAAAGATTTAACATTCTCTGATCGGTTCTGTCAGAATTCTTTGGATTTTTTCAGTACTGTGGTTGCATAATTTGCCACTTTACATAGATTACTCTGCCTGTTGGGACCTATGGCTTAACTCCTGTCATTAGTGCTGTGAAGTGGGTTTCCTAGCCTGTTCTTTCGGGACCTACATCTAATTTTTCATTAGTTTTCCACAAAGAGGGATTAGAATGGCAGTGTATAACACGGGCATCTTCGTGGATTTGGACCACAGAAAGCTAATGTCCAACTGGGGGGTGGGAACTGGGGAAACTGAGGCAGAGAAAGCTTGGAAGAGACATGAGGGGAGACGAGCTTGCTGCCCAGTGCAGAGCTGGGCAGGAGTTCAGAGCTGGCTTATTTGGACAACAAGCCAGACTATCAGACAAATATAAATCCATCATCTACACCATTTTGGGAGCATTATAGTTTTCTTTAAAGCAGAGGGAAAAAGAAGATTCTGTGGCTGCAATGACATAAGTTTAAGAAATCTGATGTCCATTGCAAGGTCTGGGCTCTGATCCAAGCCTTCTCACATGTCTCATAATCTGTAAACGTGGGAAGGTTATTGCATGCTGTTAGTCCTTAGGCAAAGGTGCAACAAGTTGTGTAGTATTGCATTGAGGCCTTATCCCAAGTAGTGGAGAAACACTGAAAGATGCTAAAACCAAGAGCTGACCAGTGTTTCTGGGAGATCATATTTAGGAGAAGCCTTTAAATACAATCTCTTTACTTAATTTCTCTTATGCCTCTTTCTCCCTGGTTCTGCTGTTTTCCTCTTTCTTTTTCAATGTGCATGCTTGTATTCCCCATGTCATGGAGTGAATTTTTTTCCCCAATGGTGCTATCTTGGCTCCCAGACATCATTAAATACTGATGAATATGTGGTGATGATGTATAGATGAAACTGTCTTTCTTCATTTGAGCCTTTTATCTTTTCAAATTTCTTACCCACATAGCATACAAAGTGTTTCCAGTCTTACTTCATCTAGCTGCTTTGCCTGTATGCCTCTCAAGCTTCAAGCCTGGCTTTGTTATTTTAAATTTCTTAGGCTTTAGAGTGTTTGGATAATTCTATCCAATTATGTCTGTTCTAAGACTATTTTTTTCCTTAAAAATTCCTTAAATAATTCCTTGTTTCTGTTTAATTCTTCAGCCACTTTGATCTCTCCACTATTCCAAATAAAACTTCTTCAGGTTTCTACAGGGATGCAGACTGCATTTTCATTCTCTCTGATTTCTTCTTAACCCCTTTTTAAGCAACATGTCTGACTTTTTTTGTCTGTCATACTTCTCATATTTTGAATTCAAAGAAATGGATTTGTGTCTGGATATAATTTAATAATTTAAAGACCTAAACTTGCAGTTTGTGACTGTCAATTCTCTCCTCCCTTTGTTTGCTGACCTTTCTGCATCCTTGGAGGACTGAATTACAGCGCAGAAACTTGTTTTTCTTTCCATCTTTTGTGTTAAGAAAGTCCTAGCAAACATTTGAATATTGAAATCTCCCAGGAGTCATGCCCTAGTTGTCATGCTGAGCATTCTTTTTTTCTTTGTAATTTTCCCTAAATTTATTTTTTATGTACACACACAGAGTGAGGCTAGCAGAGGCCACTGTAATCTCCTAGTCTAACTTTCAATGGAATCCAAACAGGAGCATCTTCTCCACTGGTATGCTGCTTTCCCTTGTATGTGTCTGTAAAATAGTTTTATACTCTGTTCCTCATTGACAAGATGTGAATTGCATTAGTTCTCTCGATGTTTGCCTCAGCTTAGTTTTTTTATTCTTTGCAAAGATAATGACCTTTCTCTTTCTTCCCTACCTAATGTTTTCTTGCATGCTGTCCCTGCTTGCATTACCTTTCTAGTCATGACTCATTCATGTTGTCGTAGGTGCTGCCGTCATTACATCTCTCCAGTGTAAATGAAACGACTCATTTACTATCAGATCTATTGGCATTTATTTAGAGGTCCCAGAAGAGAAATCCCTTGGTGCAGCCAGTCAGCTGTAGCTTCTTTCCTGTGTTGCAGCAAGACTGGCAGCAGCAGCCGCCCACCCCTCCCTTTTGCAGGGGAAAACTAAATTTCTGAATCATTAGGAGAAGCAAACAGCCTGTGTAGCTGTGATGCCAAACAAGGGGTTTGATGTGGGCCCACCAGCCCATGCACAGAACAGTGTTTCTGCAGGATTTATCCCTGCTTATTCTGCTTTCAGCCTTCCCAACCAAACTCAAGTCCTGAAAATGGTGTCAGCTCTGCGTTTTCCAGGGAGAGGATAAAGCCTCTCCATAGTACTTGTCCTATCTCTCGGAAAGAGAAAAAGCAAGCCACATGGCTTTCTTCCTTCATAATTAGTCTCCTGACAGCGCATGGGAAACACATACCTGTGAGGAGTGAAAGACCTACTTAGTAAGGTGAAAGGCACACTGCCTACAGCTGTGTCTTGGTGTGGGTAGCTGGGCTTAACTCTAGGAAGCTGGAGAGCAACTGCTTGTGTCTAATCTGTATCTAGTGTAAACTTGTACTGGACACCATAGCAAAATATTGCATTTAATTTCCACAGTAATAATCTGTACCTCCAGTCTCATTGATGTATATATTTGATTGATTGTACTCATCTCATAACTAATCAGTGTAACTTTTAAGAGGCATTACCTTAAGAATGTAACCCTGGTCTCTGTAATCTCAAGATTCAAGTAGGGAAGGGTGTTTAAAGCTGGTCGTGTTTTGCGGGGCTGCATAAGGGTGTCCACAGTGACAGCTGCTGCCCAGGAGTGGGTGGCCACATAGAACCTCTGTTGCTCTTCGCTCTTCTCGAGTGTGTGAGTATTTCCACAGCAGGAGTGGGGAATGTTAGAGTGGGGGGTTTTTTTGAGCTCCACTAGGTTCTCTGTAGACAACTAAAAGCAAGTTTTACATTGTTTTGGGCAGTGTGTCTGCTGTTTTCTTTAAAAATCTCACTAAAAACTTTAAGGGGTGGAGGAAGAAGGTGGAAATACTGTAGCAGTGAATGTATATTTAACAGTTGGCAATCTGTTTTAGTGAGGATCAAAGGCGCAGGGCCTATCATGCTTTGCAAGATGGGGAAATTGAGCCTTTTTGCCATATACTGAGAAACGGCGGATACTTGCGTGTTCTTTTTGAATCCTTTTAGCAGTGAGAGGGTGGAGAATGTGAGACTAATAATACTGAAAGTACAAAAACATGTACTTGTGCTTTTTTTCTTAAAGGAAGCTTAATTTCCTTTCTATAACAGAAACATTTTTCTTCTGTAACAGAAGTACCCCAATATCCTTGTTTAAACAATCTCTCGGAAATAGATGTGTGGGTATGTGTGTTTGCAGTGTTCCTGCTGTCTTTAGATAAACTTTGTAGAGCTTTCAGTGTGGGAACGCTGACCTGAACTGCAGGCTGACCCCCGATCAGATAGCTGAACTTGAAGTAACGGTATTGACACAGGCGTCCACCAAGGTATTCTCAGTGTAGGAATTGATGCTGAAAACGTTTAATGTTCTGAAATAAGAGGCCAAAATAAATGTGTTTCAGTTGCTTTCCAAGGTAGCTGTTAAATAGCTCTGTGCTCGTGTGTAATCAAGTCCCTATGTCTGGTCTTCAGGGTTGTTTTCCTCTGTCTGAAACAACCCTGAAGACCATTCTTTCATTTTTAGATTCCTTTTCCAGTTGTCTCCATCTGGCTTTTCTAGGCTTTGTATCATAGCTATTAGCTTTTCAGCTATGAATACCTACAGTTCTTGGGGGTGTCCTTTATGGATTCATTTGGTCATTTTGGATCTTCCCAACTGTAATCATCTAGAGCTCAGAGTGAGAAGAAATGTGTATATTTGGAAAGCATGTTGAAAGTATTTGAGCAGCAATTTGTTTTTAAATGAAATTCCTCTCTTCAGATGTGTCCTGCTACTTCTCCTGACTGGCTTTTCTAGGCTTTGTATCATAGCTATTAGCTTTTCAGCTATGAATACCTACAGTTCTTGGGGGTGTCCTTTATGGATTCATTTGGTCATTTTGGATCTTCCCAACTGTAATCATCTAGAGCTCAGAGTGAGAAGAAATGTGTATATTTGGAAAGCATGTTGAAAGTATTTGAGCAGCAATTTGTTTTTAAATTCCTCTCTTCAGATGTGTCCTGCTAATTCTCCTGATAATCTGTTTCAGCATGATCACAAGCATATTTTTGAAGCTACATGGGAGCAGTTTTACTTCTTCTAGCTATAGCTTAGATTGTTGTACAGAACCAGAAACCAATAAATGAAAATATTTTGCTTCTGAAGCTTGAATAAAGCTTATTAGGAGAGCTGCTCTTGCATGAGTGTGAAATTATTTGTTTCCATAACAGCCCTCTGAACCTTTTGGAGAACTGTGGGAAGGGGAGGTCTAAAAAGCTCACACTGTGTCCACTTGAATAGCTTGTTACTTTATGTATTTTTTTTTTAAAGGGATAAATAAAATTATTTGAGTGGATTTATTAAAAGAAGGTTGCTACTGTCTCTGTTAAAAGGAGACTCTACTGGAGTTTCTCAGGTTCAGCTCTGAAGCTCAGCAATTGAGCCTGCAGAAATCTTCTTCTGCTGAGAGATTGTCATGGGTGTCTTCTTCCAGCATGATCCAGAGGAGGAGGGAGAAAAGTGCTTTGGGACTAGGGGTGAAGTTGAAGCTGTATTGCGAGCCTGGCACTGCAGCTCTGACACATCCGTGCTGATGATTTGCTGCTGCTCATTCCCCAGCCTGTCTGCATTTGGGTAAAGATACGAAGTGGTTTCAAACAGTACTGTTCCAACCATGCCCAGAAATTCTTCTTGCTGGTAAGATGGAAGTTATCATTCTTACCAGGCAGCTCACCTAGTGGTATTATTGTTTGGATTTTGTTAGAATAATGTGAATGGTATGTGGTGCATCAAAAAATGCCAAATTCCAAGATGAGTGCTTTTGCCTGGATGTTGTATATCAAAGATGTCATTACTTTAGTGCTGGTCAGGTTAATTAACTGTTGCTACTTGATATTTCCAGTGTAAAAAAAGTAACACTACTATTAAGGAGTCATATTTTTAAATGCTGTTTAACTGATACAAAACAAACTTGTATTTTGTGGACAGCAAGGGACATACAAAAGTGTACTTTATTCAAGCTAGAGAAATAATTTAGAGTCCTGAGAGGTAGCTCTCAATCCTGGCAAATCTGAATACTAATCTTTTTAGCTTGGTCTGAGCTCAGCAGAAGTGTTTGGCTTGAATCGGATGAAGAAATGGATTGACTTTTCATATGTAAAAACCTTTCACTCTTTGGTTTTCTTTTACAGCGGTTTAGAAATTGGGGAGAAGAAAGTTTGGCTCTAGTAAGCCTTAGAATTATAATTGTTCTTTTAAACAGACTTTTGTGGCCATATTAAATATGAGAAGTATACAGGAACTCATGGTGGAGGAGAAGTTTTAATAACAAATGTTGGGCAAGATAAATACTAGTGCTGCTATTTGAGTGCTTCACAAATATTGGAAAATTAGTCATCTTTGTGTGGAAGGGAAACATCTTCAAGAAGGGATCCAGTAACATGGTGTCTTACTCCCAGCCCACGGAGGAAGCCCATGGAATTCTGTGTCAGATCTGTGTGTCAGACTTGAATCTTGGGAATAGCAGTCCTATGCTTTATTTGTAATACGTTAATATTTTGTGTATCTACACAGCAAACTGAGGGAGGTTTGTACTTGTAAAGCAACCATTAGTATTGTGACCCCAAATGCTAGAAACTAGTATTTTTTTTTTACTTGAGAGGCTGTGGGAAGTGAGAGCCAACTTGGGACAGTTATTAAAGGCTATAGTTAAATAATGATAAAACCTTTTCATGCTCTTTTTCCTACTTTTTTGTTTCCTTTCCCAGGCATCAATTTTGGACTTGCACTCCGGAGCTCTTTCACTGGGGAAGCATTTTGTTAATCTGTACAGGTAAAATGGGACTGTGGCTCGCTGCCTCTCTTGTCATCCTACACGTCAGTGCTCATTGCCATTTCAAGTTTCTTAAGCCCTGTGGGCTGAGGTTAGTAATGACAAACTGTAGAAGTTGGTCAGATCACCACAGTTTCCATGACCAGTTAAACAGCTTTTGTGGCATGAAAACCTATCTTTTGTTGAGCTGGGCTCTTTGAAAGCTACCATTACCTTTGCATGGGTAAATATTAGTATTTTTTCCACAGTTATAGTCTAGTTTGTCAGCAGTAGAAGAAATCAAGTAGTTTGAACTCTTAAAGACTTAAATCCATGTGCTTATTCATTGTGTGGGAGGGGACTCTCTTCCTGCCTGGGGAATTCCATTATCAGTTGCTGCACCTTGATCCTTTCATCTTTTAACAATCTTTGAGCGATGCTTTGGGAACATGACACTCAAAAGCATTTGTAGGACTTCTTTGGTATTGTTTTCACTTATTGATTGTGGGTAAAGCATGGATGGAGGTGAGAAGGCATCTTGGTGTTACTTGAGCAGTCTGATTCAGCAACTCCTCTTTTAGACTGTTGTTTTTAACTTTTCAGGTACTTTGGGAACAAAATTCAAGACATCTTCACAGAAGAGGATTTTGCATTATATCGGTAAAGATTTTCAATAACTGCTGAATGAACTACAAAACATAACTTATTTTTTTATAGAGTACCAGTTGGGTGGGGATTGCCCTTTGGATTCGGACACACAATTGAATTTGCAGCTAAAATAGTAATCTCTGAGAACTAAGATGCCTTGAGGAAAATAAGTAAAAGCTTTTGGTGACTGCCTGATAAATAACATTTGCTGCTTTGAACTTAGCTGCATTACCGATGTCAGGACAGTATTGATGGTGTAAATGTAACCAGAGTGATGGCAGCACCACACGTTTCCCTTTCTGTGTAAGGGGCTGATGCCAGCAGAGAGCTGCTTCATCCGAGTTCTGCGGCTGTTTGCTGGAACAGTATAGCTGGGATGTAAAATCTGTTAGCATTAACTCCTATGTCACACACGTTATCCAAGAGGTGTTGTGTTAGATGATAAAGACAATCCAATCCTATTATTATCTTAGGAACTTGGGGTTTTTGGGTGAAGTGTAGCAAAAGATTAAAAGTGGTAAAGCAGGAAGTGGAAGGATTTCAAATTACTAATCTTCTGGCTAGAGAAGCAGAGTGTACTTTCCCCCTAAGAAGCCAGAATATGAAATAGTGCTATAATGTAATAGCTTTGGCATCTGATGCTTTTAGCTTTCCTGTAGACCTGTTCATATACTTAACGAAGACAACAAACGTAATGAGTTCCATGTGTCTGCGAAGGTGTGTGGCCAAAGTTTAGGAACAAGCATTCTTTGTTGACTAGACACAATAAATCTTTAGCTATGCATTTTGGTTGCTTTCTCATAATTTATAATGTACCTGGCTTGAACATTTTAACTCTTTTTGTCTTTTTTTCCTGCCTTTGTGAAGGAATATGACCTCCCTCTAGTGGTGGAAGTACTATTAAGTAGCCAAATAGGTTTATTAGTTTTGTTAGTAATTTTATTTATATTAAAATATTAACCACTTAAAGCTTATTTGTTTGACAGCTGGTTTTAGATACTTTGTCTTTATAGTTGAACTTTAAAATGTGTTTACTTCTACCCCCAAAAATCACAAAAATGAGATGTTTTCTTGAGTATTGTTGAACTCTGAATGTATAAAGAAAACATAGTTTCTGCCACCAAAATAGTGGGGAATATCTTGAAAATAGTCTTTGTTTTGCCTTTCATTCTGTAGAAGATACAAAAAATCTGTAGAAATAACATGAGTATATGGAGGGGGTGTCTTACCCCAGAATACTTCTGTTTCACATAAACAGAAATTAATGAAAATTATTGAAAAATGGAATATTTCTGATTCTTACACTGAGATGACAGCTGCTAGGGAATATCAATATTCCATTGGTATTTGCATGCCAATGTAGGGATGTTTCAGTCTGCTGGATATGCATCTAATATAAAATATATTATTAAATGCTTCTGTTCATATTAATGGCAGTGCTTCAACACAGATTGTAGTACCTTATGTCCTTAAATTATTTTTATGCTATTCTTGGGAGTATTTATCTTCATTACTTTCACTTACCTATGAAGGTCCACTTAAAAATCCACTCTTGAGAGAAATAACTGAATGTAATTCATGTCTAAGTATCACTGATTGCAACAATAACAAATCTGAGTAGGCATTCTGAGCCAGGAGGCTGGTTTCTGAACTGTCTCTGTCAAAATTACGTTGCTTCAGAGTCAATTATGGTTTCTAGGCTGACGCTTTAACCACCATCTGCCAAGCATATTCCTTTTGTTTTACATAACAGATGCATCTTTATCTAGAAGAGAGACCTTTGAATCTGGATGCTTGGTTTAAGGGTTGTGACTTCAGCAGAAAATGGCACCATCAAAGATTTATTCCAAAAATCTTGCAACTTAAGGTAGAGACAGAATGAGCAGAGGGAGAGCTGATAGCACGCTTTCTTCCTTCCTTCATCCTGCAGAATGTGTGACTTCTGTTAAAACTTTCTGGCTGCAGAAGAGCATTGCCTGTGCTGCCTTTGGTGCTTTTCATGGGGAGCAGTGCGGGGATGTTGACAAGTGGGCTAGAGAAGCTGTATAGTTTTGCAAAGCTTTGAGTGTTCCTGTCACTGTACTTGAATCACACTTACAGTGATTCCTAACAGTGCATTTTTTTGCTGGTCTGGTAGAGCTTGTAGCTTACAGAAACTTTTAAGTTCTTTTACTCAGTCCTTTATGCTGCTGCTGCTACATTAAGCTGGCAACTTTACAACCTAGTGAACATCCTTTCTCTTAACTTGTATGTTCCTTTGACTTCTAGCTACTTTGGCTTTTTTCTCCTCATTGCCCTGAGTCCAAAATAGACTTCAGTAACGGCTTTTATAGAAGGTGGTGATGTGCTCTGTTCAGTGAGTTCTGTTCTGCCTTTCCCTGAGCATGGTCTGTGCATTTTGATATTATCCAGTGACTCGGTGCAAATGTACAAGGAGTGCTGCTGACAAATTCTGGGAGGGATTCACTTGTTACTTAAATTGTTGACTGGATGCTGTACTCCTACATTTATTGTCATAGCAGAGCTCTGTTTAGTGCATCTGATCAGAGCCAGGGGTACCCTTTAAGCAGTTTGAATGATAGAATAGTTGCTGTGTTTGTGAAAATGAATGCTTACAGTCTCTAGCATAAAGAAGTATTTTCTTTGTGGCTATAGTACAGCAGAGCTCTCCCAGAAGTTTTTGATATATGGGGGGACAGAGGAAAACGCATGAAGAACGCGTGGGCCAGGATCAAGAAGGGAGGGGAGGCTCCTCCTTCTGGCACATTTGAGAAGTGGCTGAGGGAACAGTGTGGCTCTTACTGTACCAGATCCAAGGTAGCCAGAATCTCTGAGCTCATTCATTGCTTCCTTGAGAGCACTTTCTAAGCTGGAATTTGGCTTATCTTGTCAGGTGATTGTGTACGTTTTGTACATGAAGTACAATGCATTTGTCATTAAGTGTTTTACCAATAGCCTATATAGGCTGCATCTGGAATTACAGGGAAGGGAATGGAAAGAAAAACTTGCAGTCATGTTATTGATAAATGTTGAAATGGCCAGGTTAGTGGAAAGCAGACTGTATGGAAGAGGGTTTTTTATAGGCTAAGAAGTGACTTATACTTCTTTTGAAAACAGCTACGTGCTATATTTGGCATACACTGGGCACAGAATGAGCTGAAGTACACGGATGCATGTGTTCAGATACATGCTTTATAGAATTATAGGGAACACTTTGATCTCTAAAAGAAGTCATGCCTTTGCTCCTACTGCAAGGTAAACATTTGATTCCCATGTATAGTGTTTAATTTGCTATCGTAGAGGGACACGAGATACCTTATGAAATTTGAAGCAGAGGTCATGTTTGCACTGACAGGTTTGTCAACCTGTTGATGACTCCTGCAGTGGGGTAAACGTGACTGTGGAACGAAGGGTAACCACGATTATCACAAAGCACCCCAAAAAACATACCTCCTGCAGCACGCTGTTATCTTTGGCACCAAACTTGAAATGAATGGGTTTTTACACATTCTGACATCACTACAAGCTAAGATTTTCTTGTCATTAGTTACAACAGTGCAATGCAGTGTTTTCTAGTAAGATCAGTATTCTGCACCTTAATTTTCCCCCACCCCCTGCATTAAGTTCTTCTATACTTTATGTGGCTTGTTTAAACTTATTTTGAACTGCAGCCACTTAAATATGACAGTGAGAAGTTCTGGTTGTTGTTTGCATGCATTGGGAAAGTCTTCTCTTGCGTTTTTCCATATTCTTCTTATAGTGCCTATGCATTTGACTTGACTGCCATGTTATTAGAAAGTAGTTATTAAACACTATCTATGTGTAGAAATAATATTTATCTGCTGGCTCAGCTAGGAATTTCATGGAGTGTCTGTAACTTTTGAGCAGTACAGTACATACTCAAGCAAGAAAAAGCATTTAGGCACTCAAAGGTGTTGCTCTTTTTCAGCAAATCTTTGCCATATAGGTTATTCACTGAAACATCAGTAGAAACCTGCAGCGTAATCATGACTGATGTGCAATTTTATTTTTAGTTTTTCTTGTTGATTCTCCTGTCTAATTGGGTTACTTATTGCACTGCATTATAGTGCAATAAATGTTGTTCATATTTGTAGGCACAGTTTTCCCAGTTTAATAGTTTGCATTGAATATAAACTGCTCGGGCATTCCTTGGAGGTGTATCAGATGACACTTTGTATCAGGATAGTATTTTATGCTTTAAAACCTAAGAGCATCCACAGGATGTGAAGAAATAGAGGCTGAGATGTCCTGTCACTCTTTGCTCTATCATGTGTTACACAGGTTTCTGTTGTACCTCTTGAATTCAACCCTGAACTCTGAGAATGCCCAATTTGCAGCAGTGTAGAGTACATGTATTTTTGTCATGTGTGTACGCTGGGGAAGAAAAAAAATCCAGTCTTGAGTATTTCCTTTCTGTCCCTGCTGTTTCTTTTTACAAAGGTCATCCTGTGAAGGGCTTTTTTTATGAGCAAAGCTTGCTGGAAAGGAGTCTTGTTGCCAGTGACCACTACACATGTGTTTAGAGAAAAAAAACTAAGCAAACTAACCCAATGTTAGATTTGAAGTTCATTGAAATTAATAAATGACTTCCTACTGACTTCAGCATGTGCTGGATTAGGCCCTAAAAAAATAATTTGGTTGTTCCCCCAGCTCTCGCAAATATGTCTGAGAGCACTGAAGACAAACTAGAAGATTAAGTGTCCTCTCCCCATGAGACTTAACTTTTTTACAACTTTGCAGCCTGCATATCAAGCAAAGTTACTTCTGCTTTGTTATTAACTTTTTATTATAGGCAAGTCAAGTGAACCCCTCTTGCTCATGGAGCTCTGATGTGAATAGTCAGTATTTTTTTGCCTGGTGACCTCTTTCTTGAAGGAAGGCTGTTGCTCTAAACATGCTCCCTGGACATATGACATCATGGTCTGTCTGTACTATGTGTTAGCACAGCTGCAAATGCAAAGGGTAAATAACTGTTCTTTGAAGCCTGGTCCAAGATATATTACAACCAGTGGGACTTTCTGATAGCGTACCATTTGTTTTGTTGAACAGCAAATTACTTGTATGCATAAAATTCATGTTCGCCTGCTACATACACCATGATTGTCTTGATTAAGTTTTGAGTGATGCTGTGCTATGTAGGATGAGAGCTCACTGGGAAGCAAAAGGCAGGAGAACAGAAGTCAACTGAAGAAATGCAAGGTTGGCACCTCTTGTCACCCCATGCACTTGAAGAAGCTACTGTGATTAAAAGTAATTCTTGAAGCCAGTAGCACCCAGGGAAACAAGGAGCCAGCAGTATGCTTCCACACCCCAAAACCAGCTGCCTAGGTCAGCTGAAGGCAGCTGCTTCCATGAGACCAGGATAGCACCTATAGTCATGCTTTTAGACCTACCACCTCAACTGCTTCATATTCTGTTTTCCTATTCGTGACTTCTCCTGCCTACTTGATTTATAAACAGGAAAACCCCCTTACCTTCTGAAAAATATGCTTATTTTCTCTTTGCAGCATACTTAAACTGTTGAGTTTATTTTCCTTTCTTTTGATAACCCATTGGTCCAAACCAGGTAGACTTGTGGTTATTATTTTGGAAGGTTGGTTGTTTTGGTTTGTAAAACATGCGGTCTTGCCCAAAGCCATTGCACGTAAGCCTCAAAGAGGAGCGAAGCTTTAATGGAGCCTTGTAAACACTAGGCAGCAAATCTTAATAGAAAGCTTTTAAAAGTGGAAAAGGAATCAGCCTGAAAGAGGAAGTAGTACTGCTTAGAGCAATACAACTACTGGAGATTTAAAGTTATGTCAAGACTGTGGCCTAACTACTTCAGAGTAGATATATTCCAGCTGGCTGATGCAACTGGCCACCCAGGGTCAGCCAGGGAATGTGCTGCTTTAGTATTTGTGGGTTAGGTTATTAATTCTTGTGTTGGGTTGTTGAAAGTGCCAACTGCCTTCGATTCGTGATGGAGTGAAATGAGTAATTACATTTAATGCTTTTTGGGAAATCTAAGGCAGAGTCTGCTGAAGTCCTACTTCTTGGAAAGAAAACAGATGGAAAGATCAAGCTCCCACAGGCATGAGAGGAAGGACCTGTAGATCCTCTCCTGATGTCAGTTTTGCAAACTCTACCACTGTGTAGCTCTCAACTTGAAACCTCAGTTCATGCAGCCATGTAAATACCTGGAAATCTCAGCTCTGACTTAATTTGATGGTTTGCTGTTTCACATGTAAAACAGCTTGAATTGACCCTTAAAGCTTAGATCCCTAAAAATGTAAAGTGAGACAAGTTAAAAATCAAATCTGTATGTGTTTTTTTTATTTTTACTTTTGGTGAGGGACAAGATGTGAACAGCATGAATACTTAGGATTTTTTTAGTACTTGTAGAAATAGTTTTCAAGAAGTGACTTTCACAACCTAACACTGTAGTTCTAGTTTTAGTTGTCACTTCCTTTTAGTCACTGTTTAAGTTCCCTAGAGAAATACTTGGGGAAAAAACTTTCTTGAAAATTATGCTGAAGTTCAGTACTACCCAGTGGAGCAAAGATGCAAAACTACAAATGTAACACCATGCACAACTTCAGAAGTGTGTTTACTCAGAGTATCTTGTTTGTGTGCTGCTTTTGAAGCACTTAGGAAGGAAGAAAAGGAAGATTAATACAATCACTAAGAATGTGTTAACATTGGGAAGGAACAATATAGAGATTTTAAGAAGCGTCGAGGATTACATCTTAAACCCCAATGTTTTCATTTAATCTCATTGTGTTATTGCACTCTTGTCTGCCTTTTAAATTTACTCAAAGTTAAATAGTAGCTGTATTTGTTTACTGATGGGATATGCCAGTGTTATTCCTCGTTAATCACAGATCTCTTCTCTTTAAAAGTGCCGTTGAGTGAAGTAAGGCTGGCAGTTCTAGATGGCCCCATTCTAGCCCTGTATGCAGCTAAATCTGGCCTGAAAGATGGATGCTGCTATATAAGCAGTTCTGTATAGTAACACATCTGTGATTATTAGTCTTCTTTTTTCCTAATCTTAAAAACAAAAATAAAAATCCTGTTCTGTTCTTTCTGTCTCCCAAGAAACACAGGAATAGTCAAAGTAGAAATAGTTTGGTTAAATCTTTGAAAACAGTTGGGAAAGACATCTTGCATTCATATTTAAGGAAAATGTGGTCATGATACCAATACAGATGTCCAAGATGACTGAGTTTCATGGTGCCAGGGACTTTATCAGTTAATTTAAAATTAGAAGGTTCTTCAGAGGCAATCCTTTATGAAGATACAACTCTCTATTTGTCTGCTTTGGATTAAAAATATATATGTGAAAGACGTTAATCTTAGTAGTTAATAAACAGTGAGATATGTATGGATTTTTTTTTCAGGAAAACAGACTGCTTACACAAAGAAACTTTAAAACCTAGGCCACAGGAGACAACTGGTTTCTTTTTGTTGATATTCTGAGAATTAAAAAACCCAAACCAACAACTCCCAACCTAAAACACAGGGTGTCTCTTCTTAATGTAGTAGATCTTGTATAGTTAAGGAAAAATAACAGAGAAAGTACGGGTGTAAGTTCCCTGTGATTTATCAGCTGAGGAAGAAGCTTAGCTCTAAAGAAGCAATGACAGTGAGTGAGAGAGGTGTGTGTCACTTGGTGTGTTGTGTTCTTTGCAGTGATGTGAGACAGAGAGTTCAGCAAAGGATTGCTGAGGCGTTTGGTATCCGCTCTGCTTCTATGTACCTGACTAAGCCAACGTTCTTCTCGAGAATAAACAACACAGAAGCAAAGACAACACACGATGAATACTGGCACCCACATGTTGACAAGGTAAGTAGGAGGCAGCTGGGATGCAAATGTTTCCTGTTAGATCACTTTAAAGTCATTTTGTATTAAACAATCAGTCAAACATGTTTGAAAACTGGTGCTTGTAAAAAAAAAAATCCTTTGGGGGATGAACCTAATGGAAGGATAAGTGAGTTTTAAAAAGGAATATACTGGTTGATGTTTCTATTTTCTGTACTTTAGTTCTGCTAGAATTAATAAATTATGTGAATGACTACTCAGGAATCTCTTTTGTCAGAAACATTGATTAAATTGACCTGCACCTACAAAGTGTTTCAGTTTCATCAAACTTACATTTCCAGTTAGCGTCTCACTCTCAGCCAGGTCTAGCGGGAGCTATGCCACTGGTCAGTCAATCACTGTTGTTAGTTGATCTGAGACTTGTGAGAAATGCTTAACATCACATTTCAGTTATATGTGAATTGAGGCTTTTTAGTGCATGTTCTTCAATGGGGATATGGTACCCTCTTTTAATAATTGGATATTTTCTTCATTTTAGAATGGAAGTATTGTGACTTTTTGAACTGTATAGTCCTCTACCTGTAGGCTCACAGCCTAATACTTTGCACTTCTCAATAGACTTAAATGATTTGGAATTGATATTGAGTTTATTTCTGAATTTAATGGAGTTCAAAGGTTTGGCATAGCAGAATACAAACTAACAATGGAAGAATTAAATAAAAAAAATCCCACCAAAAAAACCTCCTAGAATACCCACATTTCATGTCTTCAGGATTGAAAACTAGTCACTCTAGAGTCATGGATCACCCAAGGTAGAACCACATAAAACTTAACTCATCAAAATCTAAGTTATGCCTCAGTGCTAGAGTCTGTGTGTGTGGATAGTGTACCTGGAAGTCTATAGACTGAAACATCTACCATAAAAATCAGAGAGATATTCCTTGCCTTGAAAATATTTGCTGGAAAATGTCAGGCTGAAGGAAGTATTATGTCTGTTGCTTACAATGTTAGTGTAAGTTCCTGTGCCCTTCTTGTCAAGTAGGCAGAAGCAGCTTCAATTTAGAGAACATGGTGACAGTGATGATAACTGATATAGCTGCTCTTCGAAAGAAGAAAATAACACAGGGTGGAATTTGCAGTCACTGATACAGCAAAGACGAGACCAGCTTGCGGATGCTTCTTGTATAAAAAGCTGCGATGTAACCATTGAATAGGAGTAGACCTAGGACCAGAGGTGGTAGGGATGACTTTGCGGTGCACATTATTTTGACTAGTGCTGATAAGAACTCATTGTAGGGAGCAAATTGTGCTGGTGGGGTTTGCAGGAATTCTATCACATACTGCGCTCACTTCCAAGAGACGTCATATAAACTAGTGATTCTGGCTGTGTGAACTGCAATAAATTCATAGGTTCCTCATAGTTTTTTCACACTTTCAGAGAATAGAATTTGACTGCCACAAGGGAAGAGAAAGCAGTAAATTTCAATAGCTGATGGCTATTTTCTCCACTTTTTTCTTTCAGCCCAAAAAAGTGTATTAGAATTTCAGACTCTGATTTATTACTATAATGAGATTTGTGTCTGCACAAGCATTAGGCTTGCCAATATTCTCTTTATTCTTTTCTGCATGTGTTTTGCATTGCTAAATGAATAAGTTGCGTTGGTTAGATAATCTCACAATTAAGTGTTTCTACCTAAATCTCTTCTCTAATGTATGAGTTACTTTGTCATAGAAGCAAATCTGTTTCCACAAAGAGAATTTTGTTTTCTTTGTAGAAGCTGCTTCTCTGTTATGGCATCCTGACAGTGCCTGTGCATGATGGACAGCAGGCTAGATGTTTTGCTGGTTTTATCCGTCTGTTTTGTCCACATTTTGTTTATCTTGCAGGCTGTCTATTCAGGGAGCAGAGACACCAACTGATTGGCTTTGGCTTTTTCTAACCCACTCCCAGCTTCAAAAAAAACCCCAAACCAATACAAACACAAAATGTGGTCTTAAACTTGCTATGCATAACCTAAACCTTAATAGTTTCTATACTGAATAATTAGGTAGTCTGATTTATGACAGCAATGAAGAAATAATTACCCAGTTGGGGCAGTTACCAAGCACCTTGTTCATAATCATGTAGAATTTGGGCCCCGAAAAATAGCGTACCTGCTGTAAAATATGAAAGTGTGACTTATGCTAAATTTCAAGGTATTTTCTGAGAAGTATTGTTTAGATAACTCTGGGACTTAAAACTGTAGTTTGTCCTGTTTATTCTACATAAGTAGTTCGAACATTTTTCACTTCTGTAGCAGCTGACTTCTGCAGTAAGTTGTCTGTATGGGGAAAACTAAAGCATTCAGACCATCGAAGTGCTTTTTGTCTGTGCCTTAAACTTATGTTGTAGGTTTGCTTGAATATATTTTAATGTGGTTATTGACATTCTTGTTCCAGAGCATACTTGCAGTAAGGATTGCATGTGACAATGTCAGAGTTGGCTCACTGTCTGTGCTGTCGTGACAGCAACGTTGCATGCTAAGCTGGGAGCCTTGTGTGGATCAGTTCCCTTTCATTTTTTGGGGGAGCACAAGGGAACAAAACTCGCTGTGGCTGGGGGCCAGGGAAATGGGCTTTGTGGGTACTGAGGAGGAGAGACCTAGAGCAGATGTTGGAGAGATGGACAGGGATCATTCTTATGGAAACTGCCCCAGCTCAGTGGTTTATCCCTTCTCTAGGGTAAAGGACTTCAGCTATTGCCAGATAATACAGTTACTCCTATGGTTTAAGTGATAGCAGTTTGCATTGCCTAGTTGAAAATTCAGAGTTTGAACTGGGTTAGTGATGCCTTAAATAGGGTCTGATAGAGATAAATCCTTGATCCTGTTCACTTCATGTCCATCATGAAAGTCCAAATTGCATCATCACATATCATTGCTACTGGATACTGGCTGCCTTCACTTCTGGTACATCATTCACTTGAATTGGCATCAAAGGATTAATTTGAATCCTTTCCTTGCTGCACAAACAAACCTCTAATTCCTCTAACTTCTGTTTGTGTGTCAAAAGATCTGATCTGGTATAATTTTCCCTTTAAGTGCAATTGGAACAGAGCTGTCTGTGGATGTAGCACTCATGTACATGTTTGCCAGATCATAATTTACCAAAAATGTTACAGTATGTGTAGAATATGACTGTATATAATTTTAGCCTATTATAGGTGTACATTATGTATATTTGTAGCTGTGTTATGTATTTAGAAAGAGATGAAAAAAAGTATAGCTGATCTGGCTATGCAGGAGACTGAATTCAAATAGAAGGTCAGAAAATATTTCAGAGAAGGCTAAATAGGACAGACAAGTTGTATAGCTTCATAAGTTGTCTTCACTGCAGTCAGCCTGCCTTGTATTTTAATTTCTTCAACAAACTAAGTTTCACTTGCTGCTTCCAGACTACAGTTGAAAGCAAGGGGAGAGGTGGGGCGGAAGCATTGCTATTCATCCAAGGTAGGAAATACTCCTGCTCTCATCTGAGAAGTATTCTTATATGCCTGCAAAATAAGTGTGAATACTGAGGAGTTGAAGAAAGATGAACAAAACTCAGCACGTTAAATTTTGCCAGTTTGTTGGATACTCTTGTGTGGTATCCATATTTATGCTTTCCCCTTAGAATAGAGCAAATCACTTTATTTCTGCATGATAATTAAATGGTGAAGGTTGCCCCTAGAAGACTTCAGGATTCTTTTTCCCTGCCCCTTTCTGAAAGAAAGGTAAAATCAAGCCCTTGAAAAAATGAATCTGACACATTTTCTGTTTTGAAGTCTGATACTGTTGGTTCAAAGATGTTGGCCTCTTGGAGCACACAAATACCTCTCTTGCCTTTTTCCCTGTATTGCTGTGTCTGTTGCAATTATATTTCTCAGTCTGAATATCCTTGGTTTGGAAGATTTTGACTGCATAATGGAATAGCACAGATCTATTATGTCGTTATGAGGCTTTGTTTTCTTTTTTTTCCTAAAATGTATTTGGTTTTTGGTTAAACATGAATAGAAACCCTGAAATCACCCAAACGACTAATTTAATCTTGTTGAATTTATAAGCAGCTAAATCAAATAAAGAGAATGTTGGCTTAAGATGTGGAGTTTCATCTTGGATGGAATTTGTTTGGAGCTGAGCCTTTCAAACATCAAATGTCTGATTTATAATGGAATTGCTGTTGCACACTCTCACAGCAGAATAGTCTTATGTTCTCTAATAGAAGTGAGATGGGACTTAGATTTCTGCAGTCCCCTGACTGGGCAAGGATCCTCTCATCCTTCACAGAATTATCAGACTCTGCCATAAGATCAGTTTTGGTTTGTTTTCCTTTAATTTCTCCTGCTGGAGCTATTGCAGGACTTCAGTGCAAATTTTCTTGGGTTTTTTAGCCTAAACTTGTTCACAATCAGCTTTATAGCTATTTTTTCCCCACCTCCTCTCATCCCCAGGTATTTTTAGGTAGCAGTCATATCCCTTTTCACCCTTTCTTTCTCTAAGCTGAACAAGCCAAACCTTAAAGTCTCCTTACCTGCAATATGCCCTCCATCTCCCTAATCCTTCTAGCAGCTCTCTTCTGGCTGTTGAGGCTGTTGCTGAGAGCAGCTTTTATGTGGTATAGCAGACTTTTCACTCTTCTTTTTCTTCCCCTTGTGTTGTTAGATCTTCTGATGTATTTCATTAAATGTCTTACTTCTGCTTTAGGATAGCATTGTCTTCGAAATCCATGGAAGCTTATTCTTGTGTCTGCTCAAGCCTCAGCTCACCTACAGCCCCTTGTAACTGAGACATGCTATTTGGTGTCTTACATTGTTTAATAATAGATGCTACCACTATATAGAGCATTAGAAGTAGCTGTCAAGACCATGTTTGTGATTATCTGCATGTAGAGGCTTACAGGAAAAGAGCAGTTTTTGACTCACTTCTGCAAGATATCATGCTAGACCTATGCTGATTGGAAGGTAAATACATGTTCGTGGGTTTTTTCTGCAATGGAAGGTAGAGGATGCTGTGCTATGCTATATATCTTTCTTAGTAACTGCAGGCCTGTCGCATGTTCTTACAGCTGTTTAGTTGCATATAAATGTGTGTCCCTCAAAAATCCAAGGCTGCCACGCTGCAGACTGTGGCTGGCTAATTCTGACAATCAGTTTATTTTTAATAATAGCTTTTAAAGAAGTGTCATATCAATATCATTATGAGCACGTACCATTAAATATTAGCTGTGTTTGACTTATTTGGGTTAAAGGATACTCAAAAAGAGTGCACTAACTGTATGAAGTATCAGGCCGAATGGAAATGCCTGCATCTTTTCTATGGAATTGTTCATAAGGAGCTGTAGAAATTTGATTTGCTGCAGTGTGCCTGTATGGCTTATCACCTGGCTTTAATGACAGCTTTTCTCACATAGTTTGAACTTCTGGTTCAGTTATTAACCTTTCTGGTATTGGAAATTATTGCCAGGGTAATAAATACATTTGATATACATGGGGGATTTCTGGCATTTTAAATAACTTAGTATAATTTAGTGCTTTGTTTCCATAGTATTGCATTTCTCAAGCCTGGCTGCCTTCTGAGAGTTAGTAATGAACAAGAACAGGAACAGAAAAGCCATTTTCCATTGCATACTTGGTTCCCCAAATCAGTCATCTATAGAAATCAGATGTGTTTGGTTAGGCTAAAATGGTTTCTAGTCAGCTCTTAAAAGTTCAGAACTGGTAAAACCACCTTGGAGAAGATGGGGAGTGCACTGATGGAGGAAAGATTGCTGCACCACCGAAGAGTTCGTAAAACAATTTTAATGCATTAGACTTGCAAGTGTGAGCTGAACGAACTTCTTCACTGACTGGAAGTTTTATTACCAAATCAGTGAAGGTGACAATAGCTTTGCAAAGCTATTGCATGAGGAGGGCTGTCAAATGGCTGTCTTCAGGTGCTGTGGTACCACATGCTCATTAATTCCCATTTATTGCCTTGTATTGCTACTAAGGTTTGGGTAAATATGGGGAGAAGGGGATCACCAACATGTTTTTCTCATTCTTGTGATTTGGACTGTGTAGTGCAGTGTATCACTGGATTTGGCTTTTTTCTGTTAAGCCCTTATGGTCAAAATAATAAAATGAGTAAGAATGAAAATGTCTTCCTATTCCATCTGCTTCTATCTTCTCTTTAGTCATTGCCCTTACAGAATAATATGTACAACTGCTGCTGAGCCAAAATTTAACTGGCACTAATGAATGTAACTTCAAACAAAACTGAAAATATTTAGAAAACTTCTAAGTTTGGAAGTAACACCTACCTCTAACAGTCACCAGGTCAGTCAAAACACTCTGCAAATGCTGTATATTTATACAGTACTACTGTGCTGCACACTTCACTGTTTGACAGTGTAATGCAGAACTTGATTGAGTTGTGATGCACTGTAAAGAAATTGGAGAATACAGCCATTGATTCTAAATACATTTTTAAGTGTTGGTGACATGTAGCTATGAAAAGGAAATATTTTCAGAATCAGCTAAACTCAGTGTTAAATATTTAGGTAGCTTCATGCTGAGCATTAAATAGAGTATTTCTTTTCTCCATCTTCAACATACATATTGAGCAAAAATAATACTTTAAAAGGAAGGAAAATCACCTTGTTATACTTAAAAATGGGGTGTTTGGTGTGTAGGCTGAGAAGAAGCAGATACATTAAAAGTCATGTTTGAAGGTTTTTAAACCAAACCCGGAGGAATTTCTTCTTTTTTCCATGCAACAAATGTGTGTTTACCTGGAAGGTCTGATTCACTGTTACTATGAAGTTCCTGTATGGTAGCTGGTGAAAGAGTAAAAAGTGATGTTTCCAGAAACCTATAATTAGATAACCATGATTAGATAATAGGCTGTTCTTGGGTCTCATTAACCTTATGCTGAAATTTTATCTTGAAATAGTATAAATAGATCTGAGCCCTTCTATTTTTTGGATACAATGCAGAGGTGTAACTTCTGATAGTGTGTTGTTTTTTGCTAGCTGTTTAGATGACTTAGGATGATAGAAATCAATAGGAGCACTTCTTTAATTGTGGAAACTGTAATAACAGAAATCATAAACATAACATGCTAGTCCTGTATACAGTGTGTGTGTAAACATAACAGGATAGGCTAATAAATACATATCACTTCTAGAAAAGAATGGTCTCAGCTTTTGAGACTGCTTTATTAAATATGTGAAAACTGAAAAATTAGAAAAATCCATCAGATCCATCTGCTTAATTATTTGTGCTCTGCAGAGATGAGAGCAGAATTTGGTAATTTTTGGTAACGTTGTCTTACTCCTAGGTAACTTATGGCTCTTTTGACTATACTTCACTGCTCTATCTTTCTGACTACACTGAAGACTTTGGTGGTGGACGGTTTGTCTTTATGGATGCAAGCTCCAACAAGACGATAGAGCCCCGCGCAGGTAAGAGTCTTGACTTGCCTGCATTGAAGCAGGCCAAATTGTGCCATTTATTAATGAGTGGGCTGGTGGATGTAGTGAGACTTCTGGTTTGTGTCAGTAGTAACTGTGGTATAATGCAGCACTCTTTATGTAATCAATCTGAAGACAAAGATTAACGAGGTCAAGATGTGGCCACTGTTTGAAATATCTGGAGTTAAGCCCCACAAAGTGGCTGCCTCAAAAGCAGTAGAGCTCAGAACTACCATCCAGTTATGGCAGCTTAGCAGGTCACTATGCATTAAGAGCAAAGATAACTATGTGACTACAGCAAATCCAAAATAAAGCAATTTATTTTAGACTGTCTGGCCTGAAATTCCTTTGCTGTTCAAGGTAGGGCTTAATACCCTGTAATTGCTGTGGGCTGGGTGTGAAGATGATTAGTTACCACAGCTCTGCTAACCTGCAGTAGCATGATGAACCATGGTTAACTGGGTTGTAAGTCCATAGCTGCTTTTGGTAGATCTGACAAGGATGAGCATTCTGATGGCTGTCAGTTAAACCTAAAAAAAAAAAAAAAAAGCCTTTATGGCTGGCTTAAGATTTTTCTAATATGTGGATCATATGAAATTGGAATTACTCTGGGGCAATATGCCTGGGAAGAGCGAGCTCAGCCTCAACTCCTCTGTCTGGCAGGTGAATACTGAGCTTACAGCAGTGTAACCTTTTATAATGCAAGACTAGTCACACTTTTGCAGAAAAAAAATAAATCAAGGACACCTTTATATTCCTACTGTGTTCTGTCTTTTTTTTTCCAAGAGAGAAAAGATGGAAATTTACTCATTTAAAGACAGCATCAGTAATTGTCTGCTGACAGGCATTACCCCAAGCAGAACTGACTTGTGACTATTGCTACCTGCAAATGGGGATGGGTGTGGGGTTTTTTTGATTTATAGATCATAGCGATCCACTCACCAGCAGTAATGCCAGCTTAGATAAACTCTGAGATTATCTGCATTCTGGGTTTGGTACCAAGAATTGTATGTTTGATTATTTTGGCTGTTGTGGTTGGAAATAAATGCTAAAATGGAAGTATCATCTTTTGCAAAACACTGCCACCGGTAATTTGAAAGGGAACACATTAAACTATTTCATTTCCACATGCAATTCTAAGATTAACATGTTTTTAGAGCTGTAGAAATCATAGTTGAATTTTAGGTAGCTGGGAGGAGAGCTGTCTCGTTGCACAGTGTAGAGGCATTCAGTCCAATTGCTGTATGCAATGTGCCCCGACTTAATTTTGAAAAGTCTGCACCTGTGAAATTGCTTCCACTTAGCCCCATTTGGTTAATTTTCAGGTTTTTTATTTTGTTCTTGGGGAGGAAGGGGGAGCAGATGAAGTACAGAAAGATTTTTTTTTTTTTAATAAAATGGTTTGGGCTGTTCCCTTTCACTGACAGTATGTGTGCCACAGAACTGGTCAAACACACCTTTTAAAACAAAACAATGCAAAGCTTGTAGGGAATGGCCTTTTCTGAAAGATCAAATGTGCTCCATGTACACAACAGAAAATTAAGTTTAATGCCAGTTACACCTTTCTAACATGTCTATTTAGATAGAGTTGTCAGGGGTTCTGTGATTGTGTCACTACCGATGGTGTAATCTAAATAACGACTAACATCCTGTGAGAAAGAGGAAAAGCTTGAGAGGTGAAGCACAATGTGAAGGCAATTGCACTTAGTTTTCCTCTTGCTGATAAAGTGCAGCTTGTGAGAGAGTGAGGAGGAGGGAATGACCCCAGGGTGTTTTCTGTTCCTGGTACAAGTTGATGTATTTTTCATGTTCAGAATGTTCCTTTGCAGTGTTTTTTCTCTCCTTCCCTCCACTGGGTTTTTAGTTTTATGCTTGTGTTGATCTTTTGTGCTTCTCTTGTCATTTCAACTCAACTTTTAAAATCATGTGTTGGTAAGGTTTTATGCTTTTCATTTAGGAGATTCAGGTGGTTTTTGAGATGACTGTCACAATTGCCAGTTCAGTTTTAGTGCATGACACCTAATTCACCTTCTCCATATTGCTAATGCCATTTTAGTTCCAAAACCTGGCACTAATTGTCATCTCAAAGTTACTCTGCATTTTGGGAACCTGGTATCGTGCCAAAATGAGCACATTCATTTTTCTGTGAGTAATTTGTTAGTGTCAGGCTTTGCAGTAGGGAACAGAAAGGCATTGTTACTGATGCAGCAGAGCAGAAAAGCAGTAATTTGAAGTACAAAAAAAGACAATTAAAATAAAAGATCGTGGGATTCCCTGTGTTTTGGAGTGCTGCCTGGGCAAGTCTCACTGCTGCTTCAAATGCTTTCGCAGCACTTAACGTTTAAGGATCAGTCTTAGCCACACAATTAGGGACAGGGAAAACTGCTTTGTTAAAGTGGAGCCTAACTTTAAAACACTTACCACTTCTCTAAGTATATATAAACTGGTGGATTGTATAAGAAGTCTCACATATTTGAGTGAGACTCTCAATCTAATTTGTAGCATGGTCTAGAACTTTGCCAAGTTCAATTATTAACAAACACCTCTGGCTTTATGAAGGAATTAAACTTATTAACCTAGAGGCTCTGGAGATTTTTTCTTTTTAATGGACATGAACAAGTCACCTCTCTGGTGCCAATTCACATGTACAGACCTCTGGCTAATTCATAACCGAATGTGGCATTAAGGAACACATCTTTCTTGTGCCGTGATGGGCTTGAGAAGTATGTATGTGTCTCTTGACGTAAGTCAGGACCTCTGTCTGCTGCAAGAAATTCACTGTACCATGAGTAAGAGAATGCTTAGCGCCAAGTAAAATACTACTTTGAAGAAAAAAGCCCAACACTTTTTTGGACTAAAACAGTTCTAAAGTAGTATCTGTTGCTTTTAAATGGGTACGTTAGTTCTATTTCCAAAATTGACATATTGGCTTTTTTCATTCTTTGTACCAGGGGTAGCTCTGGTCAAGAGACAAAATGAAATAGAGCAACGGTTAGAATGGGGTTCTTCAAAATGAAGCCAACAGCCCTTTCAACATTAACTTTCCTTTGCTGACCAGAGACCTGTTTCAGTAATCTTCAACAGATACAGAAGGATTAAGAATAAATGGCAGACAAAGGCATTCTTTTTTTAATAAAATTGGTATGTTTGCTGCTGCTACTAAATTTGTCAGTGTAAACCATATTAAATTTCATAATTCTGAAGAGTCTTTTGTGAATTTGGGGACAGGTCACAAACTTCACTTTATGATAAAGTGTAGATAAAACCCTGGAGTTGGAATGAAATATCTGGACCAGTTGTGTGTTCCGTATTTGCATGTACTTTTCTTGGTTTTAAGGGCAGCTTTGCTGCACTTATTTTCAGCTTACAAAGGAGTGTCTTCTGTCTACAAGTTGTTTATTACATAAAGGTAGAAGAAAAGGTTGCGATCACTTCTTCTGTATGTTTGTGGAAGGAAACAATCTGTGGTGCAAAATGAATCCTGTGCATTGGAGAGTGAAATGTGACTCTTGAATATCAAACTTAGCATATTCTCAGAGCTGTCAGAAGTGTATGTTTCTGAAAGTGTAAAAATATTTGAGATGAAGGTATGAGCTATTTAGGAACTTGTGAAGCTGGATTATTCTTCATCTAGAATGGAAAAGTATGTGCTCAAAGTCTGAGCCATCAGGTTTTCTGCTCAGGTACGGAAACGCATACATTTAAGAATGCGTACGTAGCTTTCTCATAGTGCAGGAATGGGCTTCAGGGTGTCTGTGTGTGCATTCACTGAGAAGTACAGCTTTATTGCAGTGGTTAGATATCGCATGGCTTGTCAGATCCTGTAATCATGAGAATAAGTGCAGTATTCCAAGTTAAGTGGTGAGAATTTGTCATGTCTTTATTTTATTATGCTCTTTAAAAAAATTAATTTGGAGGAATTCACTGCTGAAGGCTGAGGAAATGCAGCATAGTGACAGAAAGTGCAATGATATGAGAAGTAAGATTTCCAGATTCAGAAGTCCCACAACAACCTTAACACAAGGTGTGAAAGCTGTCTTTAAATCATATAGTTAGTAATCCTTCTTGTATCATAGAATAGTGGATTTAATTTTTTCCCCACTGTCCGTAGGTAGTCTGATATTTCTCCACTTTCAATCACCATCATCCAGATTCAGTCAAGATCATGATAATATTCTGGTGTTCCTAGCTTTAGTTTTGCTCCAATCAGTAAAACTGGAGCACATCTTGATGTTAAATCAGTAACAAGTGAAAGCTGAGAATGATTTGAAATCCACAGCAGTAACTGTCAGTCCTAGAGAATAATAAATGGCGCTGACATTAGCAGCTGCAGTAATAACCAGCTATGTGAAGCTTTAGATTGTAGGACAGCAATTCTTACTGATATGCAATACTAATCACAAATTGCACCTGCAACTGGTAAGATGATTGCAGAGAGAAATGGTAGAAAAAGGAGGACCTGTTGCAATTGTCACAAAAATGTATGGAAAATAGCTCCTCATTTATTTGTAGAACTCTGAAGATTTTTCTTTTGCGTTCTGTTTGTTTTGTTTTCTGTGGAAGGATAAGTCTTCCAGGCTCTGGTTTTGTATTCCAGCAGTGCTTGATGATAGGTTTATGATGGTGTTAAATGAAATATTTTAATTGGGCCCATAAAGCAATAGGTACCTGGGAGACACAAGTCAGACCTGCACTTAACATGGTCCTTATATTACTTCGTATAAAATACACTGTCTTGTTGAGGGCATCTGATACTGAGGATGGTAATGGTCACTTTATACTAGCTGGACCATTGAAGGGATGGAGGAGTGCTGGGGGGACGGGGGTTGCTAAATAGGTGTATTATGTTAGTGCTCCACAGAGCATTGCAAAGCACTGTCAATTTTGAGAATTGGCCTCTAAGGCTTTTTTCCCTGGTATAAAATACTTAGTTATAAATGAACATATGTAGTATGCACCATATGTGCTCTCCATTGCTTGCTGCACAGGAC